TGATCTCCATAGTTTGTTTACATTTATTTTGCACACAATTTTTACTTTTTTAAAATCACCATCATTTATGATCACTTTACATAAAGTCACTCTTAAAAGACATTAGAGAAACTGAATTATGTAATATTTCGAATATGTCACAGTAAGTGTGCTAGAAAAGAAAAAAAACATGAGCAACATACTGTGTACCACTTAAGTTGTAATTACAGTTTAATTAGATGATATCAATTGCAATGAAAAGTGAAATTTAAATTAAACCTGTAATAAAGAATTGTTTTTTGAAACTTTTCACTCTGTTCAATATTTAAATTTAATTTTAAATGATTTATTTAATTTCTAATTGTGTGTTATTTCAAGTTAATCAAGATTGAAAAACAGATGGATGAACACATGTACACTGCACTTTATAAATATATAGTGATATAAATATATATCAGAAATTATTTGGACTATTGTCCTCATCTTTGTCGTCAATAGTCCGAATAATGTAAATAGTGTACATAATACCTCATCTCTGAAATGTAGACAGATATATCAGAGATGTTTATTTGGGGAGAGATCTTAATTTATGCAAATCTGGTTGTAAACTAATGAAAGTCTTCTTTTTTTTATTTGTATTTTTTTTTCAAATGAAGCACTTGAAAACTAATAAAAATACATGTCTATCAATAAAAAAATTCTCTGATAACTGCTTAAGAGAGTCAAAATCACTTAGGCAAAAATAGACAATTTATGTTCAAATTCTCCCTGAAAAGCAAAGTGGCCTGTAGAAAATGAAACAACAAACTTTCATTGATTTTCAGTTAAACTTATATACAAATACAATTATATGTATAGGATATAGAATCAAAAGTTTGATAAATTAAACAAATTGGAAAACTGTTTCACTCACTCGATTATGCATTTCGCCATCATTAAATAGGCTTCCTTTCCTTTCAAATTAAATATATGTATTTGTGCTTCAATATTATATCATTAATACATTTTTCTGCGAAGCTGATGTCCCTTGGTTGCGATGAAGACAGAACTGTGTGACTTTATTTTAATTTATACCGTTTTCTTAAAAAGGAAACACAACAACATAAATTAAAGTAATGCATACAACTTTATACTGTCAGTGATTATGTATGTATGTATGTATATATATATATATATATATATATAAACATTATTTATGCAAACTTAGAATCTAACCCATCCATATTCATAATCACTTGTATTTATATGGTCAGTACCAACATTTCTTAACGTTATATCACTTTTGTTGGCTATGGGATAGATAAAAACTCAAATCACACACACACACACATGATTTGCCAGAAATAAACTTTTCCCCAGTAAATGTATAATAAATATCTGTGAATCATTTGGAAAATTACATATCTATTTGATGGAAATTTCATTTATCAATTTATTACGTTTTGTTGAGATTTGAACAAGTGGACAGGGAACAGTACACCGGAAGAAGCCACATGAAGGTGGGAGAGAAAAAGAGGAGGAGGGGGGAATAGGGGATGGTGGTAGTGTAAATGGGAGGACAAGGAAGAAATAAGACAAGATTTAACAACAGTAAAAAAAAAAAAAAAAATGGAAAATAAAAATCCCCAATAAGAAGAGAATGAAAATGTGATAAAACTGAGGTGAGCAAGCTAAAAGAGAATGGGCATGTGTGGCTGAGAAACTCGAAAAGCGAAAAGAAACCTATAAGTGGAAAAATCAGTGAAGGCTGTAGTCATTCTTTATTTTCAACGTTGAGCAAATGGGGCTGGGTGTGGGAGTCTTCGTAAGTGAATGTGGGAGAGGAAGCGGAATAAGATCGTTTTTGGAGGGGGGTAGGAGACATCAGAACAGAAATATGTGGACAGGCGAAGGTGGCAGCACTACTGAATTGGTCTGGTCCAACGGAAGAAAAATAGAATAAAAGTTTTATTTGTAGCTGCCGAGAGGTGGAAGTGAAGGGATCATTCGACAGAGTTGGGTGGGTAGGTATTTTAGGGTAGGGATGAGGGGTCGGGTGCAAACTGGCCGTCTGTAAAGCCCATGGCTGTGAATCTGTATGTATGTGTGTGTGTGTGTGTGTCTTTGTTGCTTACCTCTATGACATTGAGCTGGTCATAAGCTCCCCTTCCCTGACCACCACCACCCCAACCTTCCATCCCTGACTTGTTTCCACTCACCATCACCCGGACTGGTCTTCAGCAGATATATATCTGCTGCCATCCATTGACACTCTTTTGCATACATCATCGCTGAATTCTTAATAAATGTAACGGTCGTTGTCAGAAAATGTTCCAGTAAGTAGCCACGGACAGATCTTTCTAATCTGAAGCCCATGACCGAATCTGATGCGCAAAAGAATTCAAATATGACATATTTCCAATGAATACCTTTTTCTCATTGGTCTTCTCATCAATCGCTTTCTCTCTAATAAATCCTCTTTCTTTTTACATTTCTTTTCCCTCTCTCTATTTAATTCATTATTATCTCTCTTTCTCTCTCCTCTGTTTATCATGCTTGCTCACAAGTACATTGTTCTCTCTTTCTACCTACTTCAATTTTTGTGCATCTTGTATTTCCCATGAATGTCTCTCTCTCTTTCTCTCTCTATTTCATAAACATTATTTCTATCGATTTATCAACTCTTCCCTCAGTGAATCACATTTTTTTTCCAATTAAAAGTATCTTTGTCTTACTTAAACTCTCCTTCTCTCTACTTCTCACCTTTTCTGAGTATACATCTCTATCTCTCTCTATCTCTCTATCTCTATTTCTCTATTTCTCTATATCTCTATCTCTCTATGTTTCTTTCTTAGCAAAAATCTATTCTCTGCATTACTCATGTTGTCTTTTTCTTTGTCATTTTTTATGTTTAAATACCGACTTCTGTATTAAGTTATTATAACTGTTCCAACTGTTGGTCTTTTTTGTTGTCCTCCAACCTGTCTCTCTTTTTCTTTCTGTTTCTCTGCAATACACACACACACACACAGTAAGAAGGTAGATAGGTTCCCCACGGATGGTATAATCCATGGATAATAAGTATGATTAAATTTTCAAAAAAATACCATATGAATCCCATTTGGGGATAGTTCGGACACAATTCCCCCACTAAGAAATATATAACTAAATCAGCTAACCAACTATAAAAAAGGAAGTTAAAGAGTCTAACATTTCAGTAGTCAATTAAGAAAACTTATTAATTTTAGCCTTTATCTCAGTAGCTGGTTACTCAGATGCTGATGGCTTCAGCGACATTTAAATTTGTGTCTATATTCTCAAAGCAACTGTATTATTGAATATTTATGTCTATGTTTTTATTCTTTTGAAATTTATTTTTCAAAGTAGTTTTAAACGATGTGTGGAGGATACAAGATTTTATTATGAATTCAAAAAGATATTTTAAAAAGTAGATATTCACATGCACACACACACACACACACACACACACACACACACACATATATATATTGAAGTTTTCGGCTCTTGTTTTGAAACATGAGAACTCTTATGTAGCGATGGAATCATATTTTTGAATAAATAATTATATATATATATATATATATATATATATAGTCATCCACAGACAGACTGTTTCACTGTATCACAGCTCCTCAGTGTGGCTAGACATCTGATTGCTTCAAACCAGGATCGAAACCCAACTGATTTGACATCAGTCAGATATCTTACCCCTAAGCCATCACCGCATGGCAGAAAGGAAGGGAATTTTAATGTTTTTTTCTATACAAAATACGCCAGTGGCTCAGAGAACTCAATTCATACTTAATAGCAGTAGGAGCCACTGTTTTTAAAACATCCTTTCTCTCAAGAGCTCAACCGAATTTCCAGGAGCATATATTGTCATCAACAGACAGTTTCACTGTATCACAGATCCTTGGTGTGGCTAGACATCTGATTTCTTCAAGCCAGGATCAAAACCCAACTGATTTGACATCAGTCAGATATCTTACCCCTAGGCCATTATCAAAAAAGAAGGAGAAAGAGCAAAGATAAGAAAAAGATATCACTCATCACAAAATGGTTAATAAAAAATATAACAAAAAAGAAACAACAAATAAAAGATAACTGGTTACAACTCCTCCCTCTTCAGAGCTCAATGCAGAACAAAACAAAGTAATTTTAGTTAAATGAAGGTTTTGCTGATTGGTCCAACTTTGGATTACTGGAATCATAATTGAAAAGATCCTATTGTATGATCTCTATCTATCTATCTATCTATCTATATATATATATATATATATATATAAAAATTTAAAAGAAAAACAGACCACTTTAAGGTACCATTATAATAATTTATTTCACCAGAGCCCTTTTAAAGGATGCCAGATCATCAGATAGTACTTCCTTGGGATTACCCATATGGATTACCAAGTTCTTCATAACTTAACTATATATATATATATATATATATATATATATATATATATAACTGATAGTTAACCAAATACAAGGTCTAAGGTTCATGCAAAGTTAGAGGGTTACTGAGTGAGATTGCAAGGGGAAATAAGAGCGTATTATGAAGATGAGTAAGATAGATATTGGTTAACCCAGAACTTAGATAGACCAAGATTATACTTGTCAATTTATTCTTAGTATAAATTTTAGCTCTGTTATTCAACATCAAGCACTATTTTATTACCAGCAGCACTCACTATGCTTTATTTTTGATATAATGACCAGGCCATGCCAAGGTTTACAATAAAGTCTATACAAGCATTTTAGCAGTTTTGAAAGTACTTACTCATCCACTTTCCTTATATATGTTTACTGTCAATGCATGCCAGTAACGGGTACTTTTTTTTTCAGTGGTATAGACGACAGTGAAACAAATTGATGCCTTTCTCAAAGATATTAAAGTGATTATAAATTTTGTTCTAAATGTGAATTCAGTTAGCAGATTCATTTTCTTTTTTATTGTTCTCATAGCCATTATGTTACATACACCTTCAATCACACATTAATTGTTTTTATTACATTTTTGCATGTGTTTTCTTTTGCGTTACATTCTCTCTCTCTCTCTCTCTCTCTGTTGCTCTCTGGTTCTCCGTCTGTGTCTTTTTCTCTCTCTCTGTGTTGTTTCCATCTATTCTTCACTCTCTCTCTCTCTTTCTGGTGTCCCCGATGTTGTTTTCTCTCTTCCATGTATCCCTCTATTTCTCTCTCTAATATCTCCTATTTTCTCTCTCTCTCTCTCATGTATCCCTTTATTTTTCTATATCCCTCTCTGTTGTTTCATTCTCTCACTCTGGTGTCCCTGTCTATTTCTCTCCCTGATGTCTCCCCCTATTTATCTCTATTTCTGATGTCTGCCTCTCTCTCTCTCTCCCCATCACTCTAGTGTCTACTTCTATTTCTCACTCTGATGTCTTCTACTTATCTCTTTCTCTGGTGTCGCTCTCTGTTTTTCTCTCTCTCTCTGGCGTCTCCCCTGCACTCTAGTGTCTCCCTCTGATGTCTTCTATTTATCTCTCTCTCTCTCTGTCTGGAGTCTCTACTTCTCTCTCTCTCTCTGTCTGGAGTCTCTACTTCTCTCTCTCTCTCTCTCTGTCTGGAGTCTCTCTCTCTCTGTCTCTCTCTCTGTCTGGACTCCTCTCTCTCTCTCTCTCTGTCTGGAGTCTCTCTCTCTCTCTCTGTCTCTCTCTCTCTGTCTGGAGTCTCTACTTTCTCTCTCTCTGTCTGGACTTCTCTCTCTCTCTGTCTGGAGTCTCTACTTCTCTCTCTCTCTGTCTGGAGTCTCTACTTCTCTCTCTCTCTGTCTGGAGTCTCTACTCTCTCTCTCTCTCTCTCTCTGTCTGGAGTCTCTACTCCTCTCTCTCTCTCTCTCTCTCTCTCTGTCTGGAGTCTCTACTTCTCTCTCTGTCTGGAATCTCTACCTCTCTCTCTGTCTGGAGTCTCTCTCTCTCTCTCTGTCTGGAGTCTCTACCTCTCTCTCTCTCTGGTGTCTCCCTCTGTTTTTCTCTCTGGTGTCCCTCCCTGTCTTTCTTTGGTGTCTCCCACTCTTCTTCACTACTTGTCTATTTATATAGTGTCTCCCTCTATTTCTCTCTGATATCTCTTTGCATTTATCTCTCTCTCTCTCTCTCTCTGGTGTCTCCCTCTATTTTTAACATTCCCATTTTTCCTTTCTATATTAGGTTCACTTTCTCTCACATTTGCTCAATCTTTCTATGTATCATACCCTTTCTACACTCTATTGCATCTCCTTCACACTTTATCAATAAATCTAAACCCCCCCCCATGAGTATTTTAATGCAGTTATCTATTTTCTGAAATCTTTATTCTTTTCATAATTGTCCCTCTTTTTCATCTCACCCCCACATTGTTTTATTAATATTCTCTCCACCCCAATACACAGTACATTATTTGCTCATTATGCATTTTTGGTGTCATCAATGCTACAAGATCTGTGTCTCTCACTAGTTAATCACATTAAACTTAGGGCACAAGCTACAGAAGCAGTAAAAAAAAAGATAAGAATAACATTGAGAAAAGTGGACATCAAAGATTAACATAAAATAATTAATGCAAAAAAGACAATTACAATGATCAAAATAAAATTCTAATTAATAAATTGTGTGTGTAGGTATTTACTAAGCTTGTGTGACACAAGGCCTCAAATGTAGAGCACTCGTTGAAGATTCACCTCAGTTCAATGGTAATGGTCTGCAAGTTTAGCTCCATGACAAATATTCACACACACACACACACACACACACATTATATATATATATATATATATATATATATGTCTAAAATTTGCTATATTTGTAGAGGAAGGGTCCCCAATCTCTAGAAGGCATGATTATAAATAAGTCATGGATTAGTCCTTAGCAAAAGAATTGAGAATGGTTGATTTCCTCCTTCCTCCACTTTCCTTAAACCTCCAGTGATCTACATATAGAGTCTGCTGAAGAAGTTGTGACACTTGGTCTGAAGATTGCATTGTGGTATGAAACTAAATAACCATACAGTGTGGATTGCTATGTCCACACTGATATATATTTCTACAGAATTAAGGGATTTATTTTGAATCTGATGTTTTTTTATTACTTCAAGGCTCCTTGTTTAACTTCATAGCTGATTGGTAAAGCAAATGATAGTTTCTCCTACAAAGGGGGACAAGGGTTCCATTCCTCCCAGAAAGCACATTTTCTTCATTAAGATTTCTCCAATATGCAAACAGGCCAATAGATGTAATACACACTGTTTAAAATAAAAATGTGGTGTCTATTTCAAATATAAGTATCTACTATAATAACACCTGAAGTAATCTCTCTCTATCTATCTGTCTGTCTGTCTCTCTCTCTCTATATATATATATATATATATATATATTGTAGAATAACAATAATAAACAACACTTACCGGCGTAAGAGTCCCAGCTAGCGTCCAGCTGGCAGACAAAAATAAAGCAGGTTGTAACTTAATACAAACTCTGCAAACTAACTGAGAAATCAAGCTGGTATTTATATAGAAATACTTCCACTCAGGTACCAGCAGCCAATCACAGCCCAAGCAATGGACTATCCCACTTTAGCATAATGAGATGCTCCATTGCACCATAAATAGCTCTCTTTATCAATGTTGAATTAGTATTCACTCAGCTTGTTCCACAACTGAGTGTTTATCTTGACCATGTGATTGTTCGACATATATATATATATATATATATATATATATATATGTGTATTTGGTTGCTATTTTTGACATTTTACATTGAGTGGTTAGTGTTCTTAACATCCTATATGAAGGATCTTCATTTAATAGTTGCATATTAATTTACTAAATAATTCTATATGTTTAAATTATTTACTAGTTTCTTCAAAAAGCCATTTATTTATAAACTACCAAAAAATGTTTATGTAGGAAATTCACAAAGCATATAACTTGTTTAGCATTTTGTTAAATTACCTCTCTACCCCACTTTTATTTCTTAGGAAACTGCATTGTCTGGTTTGTATGTTTTATGTAACCATATGTATCCTTCTTTAAGTTTATGTCTGGCTGCTGTTAGCTGCCAATCCATGGGTCATGACTCATTTTATATACAAAAATTTTTAATTTTGCTTTTTCGCTTTTGATTAGTTCATCAGAGTAAGGCCCTCAAATCTTCTACCCACCTTTTTTTTTTCTTTTTTTTTTTTTGTAGAATGAAGTTGTATTTTGTTTTAAATCTAAATAAATCATTCACTTGCCAGTAATTTACAATCACCTGATGAGATGCATTGATAGGCATTGAAACATGACTGCAGTTGTGTTACAATTTTTACATGTTTTTGCTGTAATATCATAAAATATATATAAACTTTAGCCTCGACATAGTCCAAACTCACTTACACAGCCTTGCAGGAAAATGATCTATTTTCCACCCTACAGCCTCTTTCCCACAGAAAGAATGTTGCAAGTCTATTGCTGCACTATCACTACTTTGATAGCAAATATTCAGAAAAAGTTTATTCTCTCATGCTGCCATCTCAAAGACCCACCTTCCTACATCCACAGAACTGAATCACCATCATTTCCTATATATTACATTGCCAAAAAGGATCTTCCTCTCTGCTTATTCCTCCAAAACAACTTTTTGTGGAATGGACTCCAACAGAGATGCTTACTTGAACACTACAATCTTACCATCTTCATGCCTAGGGTCAATAGTTATTTATCTTCCATACCTTTAATCGGCACTTCTAACTTCTCGACAACAACCTCATTCAGTAACCCTCTACCTTGGTTGGCTCTTGGGCTTTGTATCAAGTGAATTTAAGTGCAAATATATCTATGCAGAAGTTATAAAAATTTTGATTATCATAATATATATATATATATATATATATATATATGTTAATTATATATATATATGTGTGTGTGTGTGTGTGTCCAAGATTTCTAAACATTTACAACAGCATACCTGTGCACATTCGCAATTCAGAAAAATTCTTGTTGAAAATAAATCTATACTTTTTTATGAAAACATTAACTAAAAATTCTCTGTTATCTATAGTAAAAAATTGAAACCAAACCTTAATGAAAATTAATTACAAATATTGCACAAATGTTTTAAAATGGGTATAATAGATAGTTTAAAATATCAAGGTTTGCACTAATAGTTTTAATACTTACTTACTTAAAAACTATCAACACACCATATTTGGTTACCTCCCCTGAAGTGGTAGTCAAGCCATCGCATACTCACTCACCATTCTTCACTTTACAAGTAAAAAATTTAACTTTTAGATGAACACAGCAATTTTCTTTTTCAAAATGATGAACATTACAATATTTGTCTTGAAATAAACAATACCCTGATGATGACTTTGTGGTATGTTGAAAGTACTCTGAATAAAATAGGATATATCAACACAGTGATTTTCTCTCATAATGACACCAAATAGCTTGTCTGTGAACATGAAAGGATCCAATTGAAAATATGTGAACAAAACTTATCTAAATTATTCAATGAAACATGTCTCTCTCTCTCTCTCTCTCTCTATATATATATATATATATATATATATATAATAACTAAAAATCCCAACAATGTTGGTGTAACCAACAGATAACTTGCCATATGACCTAATACCTTACAATAAAGACCAAAAGACCTATTGACAAAGTAAATTAATGCACTCAATACCCACACTATCTGAACAGAGTAAAAAATGTTTTCCAATGTCAACACTCGATGAAGAATAGGTCAGATCACTACTCAAGTTTCATGCTCTCAAGATCTTCAGGCAACTAGTGTATTAATACTTGTGGATATATATAAATATAGTTTCATATTAAATCAGTTATATGAAAATATAGTTTTATATAAACCAATTTAATCATTATATTACAGTATTACCAATTTATGGTAATATAAATTTTTTACCCCACTTTTTGTGTTTGAATTGTTTCTTTTTTGTTAAGAATATCCTTTTAATATGTCTGCTTTTATTGCAGTAATAAAATTTTATATTAATATCTATAATATATTTTTAAAAAGCATGAGGTGGCAAAAATTCATTCAAATAGGTTTTGTTAAATCAACAGACTAGATCTTTTTTTTAACTTTTTAGTGTATTTTTTCAATTTTCAAATGAACACAGCAAAAAAGAAACTTTTTTTAGTTCATCCATAATTCTAAGCTGGATGTGCAACAAATTATTTGAAAATTGAAATTAAAATTTTAAAAAAATAAACAGACATCATTGGTTGAATTTAACAAAATATATTTAAATATTGATATGTAGAAAAGAATCTGACATTAGATAATATACCAGCATTGTTCTGCAGATTAATACGAATGTTTACATGAATATTCATATGTAGTTTATATGAATACTCATGTAAACATGCATACTAAAGTACAGTTAGACAAATGTTGGGAGCTGTCTGCCCAGGTTTTCTTGTCATCTGCATGTTAAGATTCTAAACAACAACAACAAACATATGAAATGTTATCTGGAGGAAAAGTAGAATGGCAATAAAAATGTTCAGTTTTCCAAGCAGTGAAGCTTCTTTTATAAAGTAATCAAGTATTCTTAGTGCAGTGTGAAATGTGTGGACAGACTTACTTTATGACAGCCGGGCTAATGTGTTTGTGAGTTAGTACACAACGACTTAGCTGGCAGCTGCTGATTATTCCTTTCTAATGTGTGCATGGACAAGGCCTTAGTTGGTGGCTGCTGGCTGATGAATTTTTCATTGTATGCGTATGTAGATGTAGATCAAACTGGACACCAAAATTGTTTTGAGCCCCAAGAAGCAGTAGGCTCCTACTTTTATATCTGTATGGGGAATCCAAAATTTAATTTCATATAGAGGTGTGAAATTTTTGAATACAAGGTTTTCATTACAAATAATTGATACTGACTTGCACAAATCTTTTTCTTGAAATTCCAGAAGTAGTGAAGTGAGTTATTATAGCTATTTTCTAAATGACCCCAAAATAACATTTTATATATATATATATATGGGATTTAAGTTTTTATATATCAAGAACAGTTTTAGAGGAAAGACTTATGACAAAATGGAAGAAAAAAATGCATCACATGAAGATTTTCATACATCTTTCCTCCAAAACAGTTCTTGATATATAAAAATTTAGATATCATATCATTATCCCATATATATATATATATATATACAGGGTGTATCAAAAATACTTTTACAAACTTTGGTACAAGTACCTTATACCAAAACAAGGACAAAAATTCATATAAACATGTCTGCAAATCATTCATTTTTGAGTTATTATGTTTAAAGAAAGTTTGCCATAGATAGCACTGTGTTGCTCTGTAGACTAGGCTACATTTGTCATTCGTGGTTAGTCTGTCTTCAACATTTAATGTGTGTAGTAGTGAGTTAACTGAGAAGTCTTCCATTTAACAATGGTAGAATATTCATATTGTGAGCAAGCAGATATGATTTTTACATATGGCTTTGTGAATGCTAATGTACACGAAGCTGCATGGCTGTTTCAGATTGCATTTCCAGATGAAAGGCAGCTGAGTCATACAACCTTTACTGCTGTTTATCATCACGTTGCTGAGACAGGATCCATGGCACCATGAACTATAGTCCAAAGAAGACTGAAATCTGCCCATACACCTGACCACGAAGAACACATTCTGCAGGCTGTCGGAGATAATCCAGGTATCAGCACATGTCAAGTGGCCCTAGCATGTCGTACATCTTGTAGTACCACATGGCAGCTCCTTTATCCATATCATTTGCACTGTGTGCAGGGTCTTTTGCCTCTTATCACTCACCATGGGAGAACTTTTGCCAATATTTTATTGTCCAAATTCAGTCTTGTTTACAAATGAGACAATATTTGGAAGAGATGAAATAACAAATTTACACAACCAACATTTGTAAGGGAATTGGAGTCTCCATGGTACAATACAAGCTAGACACAGCACCAGTTTATGATTAATGTGCTGGAATGGTAGGTGACTGTCTGGTAGGTCCATATGTTCTCCCAGCAGGTCTTACAGGTGCTGTCTACAAGGACTTTAATTTGAACACATTTCCAAAACCACTAGAGGATGTACCCCTGCTAATAAAAAGATGCATGTGGTTCATGATGGGAAAACTGCTGGAACAATAGAAAAATGAATTAAAAAAAAACTTTTATGATTTCCTTGTGCTTCACAATCAATGAAACATATAAAAGAAAGATTGCTCCCCAAGTGTGTATATATATATATATATATATATATATATATATATATATATGAAAGCTGCCAGTATTTTGGCATGTAAATATGTCACCAGTTCATTTATAAGCTAATCTCCTATCAAAATTTGGTTTTAATACATTTTTGATCTTAGCCAGTCTTGGGTTTTTTTTTTGTTCTTTTCCAATTCTCATACAGTTTATCAAAATTTTGATGATCTTTCCATTTTCCACACCACAACCTTTGAAGAATTTCTTTCATCTCCACACACAGATGGATTAGTGGCTATTCAATTTTTACATCCACCTCTCAACTCAAATATTTTTACTTTTTTTTTTTATTATTTTATTCTTTCTTGTTTCATTTTTTGTTATTCTTTCATACCTTCATTGTCCCTTAATTTCTTGTTTTATCTTTTAAACAAAATAAATCTGTATAATTTACTAATATATTATTAATATCAGTAAATATTCCCAATACGTATCTGTGACCAAGAGACTCATGATGTCATTCATCAGGATCAGATAATAATGTTGTATTATTTAACAGAAATATATATATATATATATATATATATATATATATGTGTGTGTGTGTGTGCTAACTAAATTTTCAAATTAAAAATTACTCTATACTGAAAACTGTTAAATTTATGACACCATTACAATAACTGGTACCTAAACTTTATGAGTTTAAGTGCAGTTCTAGATTGGCAACAAGGTCTCATCAATATATAATCAAGGGGAGTTAAGTGGCCAGATGTAAGGGTTGATGTGGTCACAGAAATTGTCTAACACCCATGACTGGGTTCTCCTGCTTGTGTGGCATGGTGCAGAGTCCTGTTGCCAGACAGTCTTCCAGCAACCACTCCCCTGACCCAGGGCAGCAGTATGTCCACATAGCACTTGGTGTAAGCCACTATGTTGAGTCTGAGACCTTGTGGGAAGATGAATGAAGGCATAACATTCTTAAAAAAAACAGATCTCTAGTGATCACTCCAAACACCTTCGTAATCACCATTAGATTCATCCATCTCTTTTTGATTCTTCTGCACTGTCTTCAGATTGACACTTTGAAGTGTTCGTATTGGAACTTCTGGTAGAAATTCCATGCAGTACAGCATGCTGTTTCCAAATTTCTGGTGAAATGAATTGCGTCATGGTGCTCTTTTTCTCACAAACAGTGCCCAACTGACCTTACTATATTGTGCAATCATCAAAATCAAAAACAAATAATGCACATGCATGAAATTAAATAATATGAAATTACGACAATTTACCCATCGCACACTGTATACATTATATATATATATATATATATATATATATATATATATATATATATATATATATATGAGATTAAAACAAAAACATGTTAAAAATCGCTACACAACAGCAATCATGTTTCAACACTACAACTGTCTCTCCTCAGGCAATGGTAAATTACTGGTGAGTGAAGGATTAATTTTAAAAGCAGAATACTTCCTCTTTTTTGAAAGAGAAAGAGAAGATGAAAAATGTACTCCATTTGTTCTTATCTTACCTGGATATATATATAACAAATCTTAAGAGTAACTCAAAGTAGACGGTTACTGAATAAACATAAGAAATGAGAATATGGACGATAGATAACAGTTGACCCTTGACTTAAGGAGGTTAAGATTGTAGTGTTCAGGGAATCCTCCAAGTCTGATTCACAAGGTAGTGGTTATTGGAAAGAAGCTTTCAGAGTAGAACACCCTCCTTACCAATAGAATACATGGGAAATGAAAATGATACAACTTTGTGGTTGTAGTTAGGCAAGTTTTGGCAGCAAAGGTTTGAGCTGATGGCACTAAAGAATGGAGCTCATCTGTAAATTTGCCATGAGAGAGTAGCAACAAGTTTGCTACACCTGTGGAAAAAAGCCTGCCCTTCACAAGGCTGCATTCATTTTGAAGTCGGTCGAGGCTGAAAAGGGAGGATTGGGCAGTTCCTGTCCAGGTATAACAGCAATACTGTTTTTGGTCTAATCTGGCTCTTGTAAAGATAAATCATGACAGAAGGAATTAGGCATTATCTGAAGCATTACAAGGAGCTGACCATTTTACAAGCATCTTTTAGTGATAGGTCATATGAGTGCCATGAGGTCTGGGATGAAACTGAGTCTCAATGGACATCCGAAGCAAAGACCATCATTCAAAGTGCAACCAGTCATCATTTTTTATAGTTCTAGATTTTGTTATTTTTGTCAATTTTAATGAATTTGTTTTCTTTGATTTTTCTCTTACCTCCAACTCGTTTACTGTTTCTTTCTTCTCGTTCGTTCGTTCCTTCCTTCCTTCCTTCCCTGCTCTCCTCTCCTTCTCACCCTCCTTTCATCTTTCTTCTCTTTCTCTTCCTCCTATTTACTTCATCTCTTTCCTCTCCTCCACCACCTTTTTTCTCTCTTCTTCTCTTCTCTTCTTTCCATTGCCTCCTACTTTTTCTTTCCTCTACTCTGCCTCCTACTTCCTTTCTTTTCCATCCTACTTTCTTGTTTCCTTTCCTTCCTCTCCTACTTCTTCCCTTCCCTTTCCTTTGCCTGTTACTTTTTCTTCTTTCCTCTCCTTTGCTGCCTCTTTTTTCTTTCCTTTCCTCTCCTACTCCCTTTTTTCTTTACTGTTCTCTTCCTCCTCCTCCTCCTCCCTTCTCTCCTCGAACCCGTCCTTCTTTTTTCATACTTTTCTGTTTTCTGTCACAACTTGGAAATCTGTTTCTTTTATGAACAGATTTATAAATATATTTAATACTGTTTAATTAAATAACACAGCATTTACTCAAATATATATATTCATAAAAAAGTATAAACAGAAAATATATTAAAATATTTGTTAGATTTAATCCGTTTCATATATGTATCCTTGTTTACGTTAGACCACAATTTCAGAACAGATATAATAGATCAAGAAAAATCAGCAATAGTGTGTGTTTAAAAGCAGTAATTCAAGCTTTGCTAACCAGAAGTTCTCTGTGGCTGAACAGTCATAGCACATCGGGCTTAATGATAGTTCCATATAGGATACAGTTTCGATTCTTATCGGAAAATGCGTATTTTCTACAAAATTTCTCAAACATTCAGGCAAGTAAATGTAATTAATATTGTTTAAAAAAAAATACTGTTTAAAAAAAGTGTATCTATAAAAACGTATAAACAGAAAATATGTATGTATGTATGTATGTATGTATGTATGTATGTATATATATATATATATATATATATATTGTGTGTATTTAGGCAGCATCTTTTCATTTATACATAGTTTAAACCTAACCTGAACAAAATAAACTATGAAATCTCCACAAATATTCTTAAATATCTATAATTGGTAACAGAAGCCATTGGTTTATACCAACAACTTCCCATACTTAATACTTCTTGAATTCACTCTCGCGTGGTCATGTGTGACGTCATGAGCTGTGGTGCGATTTTCATTTCCAGCATATTATATGCACGTGTTTATCGTTGCTTGGAAATCATCCATGTAAACAGAAACAGACGATCATCACATTCTTGTTTGTGTATTGCATAATATATTGTACTGTAATTTGTTATCTTTGATAATGGCTTATGTAAGCCGAAAGCTTCGATTGGATTAAAAATATGTATCAATATTGTGATTTTCTTTCTTCATTTAATGATAATGTTATTAAGCTTATCAGACATTATGAAAATAATTTACATAAAATAAAAATACAACACTTGTCTATATTATTTAATGAAACATGTATGAATATATATATCTGTGTGTGTGTGTATGTAAGAAAATAGCAATCGCTTTTTTGTTAAATTTAGACTATACTATATTTTGTTATTATAGAAAATAAAATTTAATTTAGATGAGACATATTTGTATCTATGTGGTGCACTGCTTTCCTTGATATTATGTTGATTTTGTAAGCATAGCTTAGATGTGGCACAAGGCCAAAAGTATAGTGCACTGATTAATTGGTCAAAATTGATCTAGCAAAACAAGGTTACTAACCATTACACCCTTTTTCCCTGATATTAGGGTCACATTGGGATGTCAGGTTTGCTTGTTTGTTTACACACATATATACACATATATATTAGAGCCATTAGGATCTGTAGGTTTTTAAATCAGCCAACTTCAAGCCTATTTTTTGTTTTTTTACTCCATTAGCTCATATACTGCATTTTGCTCTAAATTTGTAACTTATTTTTCATTTTTTCTTTTCATCCTCCTTTTCATTTTTTCTTTGTTCTTTATTTTTCTATCCACCAAAGACCTACTCTGCAACCAATTGCTGATTCTGTACTTATATATTTTGATTGCTTTGTAAAAACAGAAACAAACACTTTCTCAGATGAACAGATTAACTGTAAGACATTTGACATTGTCAAGCAGAATTTTTCTTCTAATCATTCACCTTAACCCCAATAAGAAAGTATCTGGGGAAAACGATCTGTAACCACAAAAAATGCTAATAATTTCCTTAAAAAAAACAAAAAACAGTGCTCAATACATAAGTAGAGCCTACCTTGACTTGACCTCTTTCTGAAAGTAACTAATATGTTGATACAATATGTTCACCCTTACACCCCTTATTACAATAATTGGTTTCACCATTTCCATGTAATTAATATTAAGAATGTATATGCACTAATTGCTCCACTTCATATTTATTTGTGATACTAATAAAATCTATGGCTCTCCTCATCTTCCTCCTGCTCATTGCAGTCCTCTCTTCCTCTATCTTTTATTGCCTATATCTAAAGATGAGACAATTAACCTTTGATTCTAAACAATGCCCTTAGAATACAACATAAAACAATTTCAGTTTTATATTTACAAAATGACCCTTCTCTGGGTTCCATAAGCCCTACTGTCCAATTCATAACAATATAGTGAATGTAAAACGGGACCTAAAAAGAAAAACAGTAAATATAAAATTCTTTAACTTATCTTATAGCTGAGAGTAAATCAATAAACAAAAATATATATTAAATAGATATCTCAATGATTACCAAATGCAGCAGGCATCTGGGAAAGACTGAAGATCCCACCAACCAAAACAAAAGATGAAGATAAATAGTGTACAAAATTAGATTGTTTGATATAAATATCAATGGTTATACATAAGTGGTATTTATTGGGAGTATCAGCTATTGAGTGTTAACATTTAGAATCTATTTACAAAGACATTCTTTTGGTGAGGCTTAGATGCGAAAGACTGAAGAAAATTGGCTTCATTTCAGTTAGGAATCAAATTCTGCAAGTGAGGCAAAGAAATCTGAAAAATGTTTCGGATAGGAAAATGACACTCAATAAATGGAGTGCAAATCAATAAAATTGTGTTTTCTGTTTCTGAAAATATTTTGGTATGATTTTCAGTTGTTTATAAAATTTGATAAAGATATTAATTTAAAAGACAATCCTTAGTCACAAATTAAGGTATTAATTTAAAAGACAATCCTTAGTCACAAATAAAGATATTAATTTAAAAGACAATCCTTAGTCACAAATAAAGATATTAATTTAAAAGACAATCCTTAGTCACAAATAAAGATATTAATTTAAAAGACAATCCTTAGTCACAAATAAAGATATTTATTTAAAAGACAATCCTTAGTCACAAATTAAGGTATTAATTTAAAAGACAATCCTTAGTCACAAATTAAGGTATTAATTTAAAAGACAATCCTTAGTCACAAATAAAGGTATTAATTTAAAAGACAATCCTTAGTCACAAATAAAGATATTAATTTAAAAAGACAATCCTTAGTCACAAATAAAGATATTAATTTAAAAGACAATCCTTAGTCACAAATAAAGATATTAATTTAAAAGACAATCCTTAGTCACAAATAAAGATATTAATTTAAAAGACAATCCTTAGTCACAAATAAAGATATTTATTTAAAAGACAATCCTTAGTCACAAATTAAGGTATTAATTTAAAAGACGATGTTGAAGTGCTACTTAATGCTGGCAAATGGAACCACCACAGCATCTTATTTTGCTTACTATAGTGTATTGTTGCAAGTTTCTAAGACAGGTGTTCACAACCAAGTGACAATTAGGAAGTGGAGAATTTTTTTTTTATTACTTGTTGTTTATTTACAGAATTTGGAGCCCATGATGAGTGTAAAAAACTCGTATAAAAATAATTCATATAAATGGATTCATAATGCATGTGCTAATATGGAAAGGAATGATGATTTTCAATAATATAAGCATATTATTTGGAATGCACCTTTTGTGTTGAACAATCTTGGAAAGTGGGGTGTGGGGGTGACATTCTGACATATAGTGAGATTATAATATTATCACATCTGAAGTGCAAATTTATTGCAGCCATGTGGTAAATATTGAGGTGATCTTTTTTTTATGTTTTTTGGGTGGGGAGATGTCTAATGAAAGACACTTGATCTGTAATATCAACAGCACAAATATTCTTCATCAAATTCCTGATCTTAGTAATGAAAAAGAATTGAGAAGTAAATATAATGTTCAAAATAAACGTATGGATCTCTTTATTAAAAATTCTAATTCCAAAAGAAATCCTGAGGAAAATGTCATAAATAAATAAAATGTTCAATCTTATTTTCTCAGGGTGAGATAGTAAAATAGAATTTATTTACAGAAATAGTCATTTTTGTTTTAAACTCCCTATTATGAAAATATATTTAGAGACCTTCATCCAGGAATGCAAAAGAGATTTGCGTTTAGAAAAACATTCAAATTCACTTATCTTACACTGCAATGACATAGGAAATAACTTTAATTTCACCAATTTCAGTCTTATCAAAAAAGAACATAACACTTGAAGGAGAAAATATTTGAAAATGTTTATAGAACTATTACCAATTATTAACATATGTTTAAAAAACTTCATTACATCACCATTTTTCTACATATCCATTATTCCTGAATCTAAATTATCTCTTCCGAATACATAAAAATCAATATATATACATGCAAGATACATTTTTCAAAACATCCTGCAGCATCTCACTAACTTTTACACACTTTAGCATCCAGAATGTTTTCCAACACTTATTTGAATATTATCTGTTACTTCATTAGATTTGACACACATCCAATCAAAACATCCTACTGCATCTCATTAACTTTTGCACACTTTAGCATTGGGAATGTTTGTTACACATATTTGAATATTATCAGTTACTTCATTACTCATGACATCTATCTAACCAATAAGAAATAGCCAAACACAACATGGCATTAAACTGCGTCTCTTTGCTTTTTATCATTTCTATCTTGATCTCTGACGAAGCTTCAATAAAGTGAAACCTGTTAGATTAAGATCTGTTTCCTACTTGTTCTTTATCCTCTCATTTTGTCAGATTCCTATCCATACTTGAGATATATATATATATTTAGAAGTTTGTTAATATACATAGCCAATCACAATTTAAAAATTCCTTTAACACAATATTTATAATATAAACATGTTATGGTATTTCTGTCACCAAGAGTTCACTATGTAGAAATGTTCAATTCACTTGGAGATTTTCCAGAAAGTATCTACTGTTTCTTAATATTTCAAGAACTGGTTGTATGGTCTTGATGGAACATGACTGAATAATTAGAAGGTATCTCATTTCACAGGTGTGAATGGACATTTTTCTTTAGTTAAGGGGAAAGATTAAATAAACTTTAGAAACTGGAAGTTGAATATGTTGTAGAGTAAATATTGTGCCTTTCATGACTGTTGGTTAATCTCCTTGACTGGATGGAGTATTTTTCAGCACCCTTTTATGTACAAGACTTAGTTGGTTTAGAATTAGGAAAATGTAAAAAAAATTGGTCAATTTTTTTGCCGCAGAGAAAACTTATCAGGTGGTGGATAACTAGTGGCCAACTTGGTTGAAATAGACCTCAAGGCAGTGTCTTTATCTGTCAGTTATATATTCTTGGAATTTTTGTAAATTACCTCATCTGCTTGATTAGAAAGTTTAAAGTGAATGTCTTCCAACTTGATGAAAAAGACTCATGACAGTTAATTTGTGTTAAACCTGAAAATCTGTCTCCAGGCTTGCAATTACAACCAACAGATAATTATATCAAGGATTTTCATTTTCTTAGGAAAATCCCAAGTTGTTTTGTTAAATAATAGTTTCAGAATATTATCTTTTAGTGGAAGTGTGTTTTGGATCAGACCTTCTGAGGCTGATCTTTAAGGTCAGATGGTAGACAAAACAAAGGAAGCTGTTTTTGATTGGTTAAAACTAGCATGGTGATGTTAGAGAGATAGAAAGAAGAAGAATGTAGATGTGTTATTTTCAAGTTAAAATTCCTTTGTTGAAGTTCTCATTCATCACCAAACAAAACTGGTGATCAACGACTGAGAGAGAAGATACACCATTATGGAATTGACCCCGTTAACTAAAAAGACCTTCCCAGAATGAAGGGGGCTATACAGGTGTGATGGTGATTGATATTGTATTTAAACTTTTGAAGATTGTAGGTGACAGGAAAGCAAGAAGCCAGAAAAACTGTAAAAGCAAAATTTCAAGGTCATCTGATATGACCAAAGGAAAAGGGGGGGAGTTCACTAAGCAATACCAATAAAGATGACTATGCTTTATCTCAAAACTGGAGACAATAGTTAAATAAAAAAAAAATACTTCAATCAGTTGTTCTTTGGAATTTCATTGCATTCTGATGTTTGACTGAGAAGAAGAGACAACTGAATGTTTGGCAATGTTGTAAGTACGGGTGTTCAAAGTTTCTGATTTTATTGACTATTTCTTTTTTGTTTTGCTTTTTTTAGTCAAAATTTTCTTGTAGGAGACAACTGTATATGTTGTTGCACATGCAAGTTGATGATCAAAGTTTAACTTAGGACCAGACTAAAAAGAAACATATCAAAAGCATGTTTATCTCTTGACATTGCTATTGCTGTATACTCTGTCAGTAACTTACATTGTTTTAGAAAGTTATTTTTAGAATTTTAATAAAATCATAACAAAACAGTGGGATCTATTTTTATAAAAAAAATTTCAAATACCATATTTGCCTTCACATAATATGCATACTCACATAAGACTATTGTACAAGTGGAAAAAAAATTTAGTATGTTTTGTCATATATTTGCTGAAATATAAAGTGGTTTTGTAGGAGAAAATGTATGATTTTGTGCCTGCAAATACAATATTGTAACAGTCACTATTTCCATGGAAAGTGCTCAGATGAACTACATTCCCTGGTCTAACCAAGTCAAACCGTCACGGCAAGAACATGCACTACCACTCATGTAGTAGCAAACCCCCCACATTACCTCCATATTCCATCAGTGAGAAGTAAGTTCCACTCAATCAGTTTCTTCCTGCAAACCATTGCTCTGTGGAACCAACTCTCAAGAGAATGTTTCCCCAATCACTACAATCTTAACCTGTTCAAGGTTAGGGTTAACTGTTATCTTCCACTCCTATACACACAAATAGCCTCCAAATGTAACCCTCTATCTCAAGTGGCCCCCAGGCCTTACAAAGGGTGAAACTTACTATAAAAAAATTAAGAAAAAGTATACTAAAATAAAGTATAAAATCATATATTGTAACTTTAACCCTCAAAGATTAAATTTGCCAGAACAGAAAAGAATTACTGGTACGTTTGTATCAATCAGTATTGGTACATGTAAACAAAGCAAACTGATATAAAATAATCAGTAAATAAATGTGAATGAATTCTTTTAGTACAGTACATTTTATAGTAGAAGCAAACAGAGCAAAATATTTCACTGAATATTACTAGTAGTATACAACAAGCAGTGGGGAAAAAACTAAATTCATTCTAACAGAAACTGGTATTTCACTAAACAGTACAGACGACCATACATATTTTATTATTAGTAACGAAAATTACTGCAAAAATTTGGCTTGTTTTTCAATATTTTATTTCTAGTAAATTTTATGCCTAGTAAACTCAGGTGCATTTGATGCCCTATCCTACCAGTACAGCACTTGGTTTTCTCCCATCCGTAATATGGCTGTATTAGGTGCAGGGCAGTTTGTTGGTACATTTAAAAATAAAAAAAAACTTGTCTTATGTAAAGGTAAATGGGATACTTATGGTTAATGATAAACTATAAATTAATGGCCAATAGAATCTTCCTGCCTATTCATGGTAGCCAGCTATAGGCTCTCACTCTGGCCAGTAGAAAATGGCTGCAAACTACATGAAAACTGCCGTAGAAGCATGAAAAAATCGATTATTTCCACTATCGATGGGAGTTGGGAAATGCAAAGTCAGTCTTGGCCTTTCCCACTAATTTGGAGTATGTGCATGTAAATTTGGGTGCAAATCCGTCGAAAATTGCGGCCGTGCATTCGTTACACACACACACACACACACACATCCTGTCTTTTATAGATAGAGATTACTATTCTTGTATCATTCTCTCTCCTTATTAGTGATTTTTTTCTCATATTCTCTAATGCTCAGTAACCCCTTGCATCTTAGTGGCTTTATTGCCTTGCTTGTGAAATGATTTAAAAAGAAAGTGCAAGAAAAGGAGAGACTAAGATTATTCACACAACATGACTCTGCACAACAGAAAAATGGAAAGAATAAAACAACAATCAGGCCTGCAGGTGAGTCATTGGTTTGACGAGCCGTGAGTGGTCATGTAGAGACAGCTGTCACACAGATGACTGTCTTCACTAGTTTGCTCATCTTAGCCTGTCGGCACTACACCCCGGGTGGGGGGATGATGTGCAGATATAGCGGATAATATGGGCCACACTCAAAGAAATTCCACATGTAAATGTTTATTTGAGGAGTTAATATTTATTTAAATTGTAAACAAGCTTTTCTCACCAATTCTTTGGCTTTTTCACTTTCTACAAAATACAGTTCAACTCATTCCTTTCTTGAGAGATAAAAGTGTAGTAGATATTTTTTCTAAAATAAATCTGTGAAAGGATAACTTTCTTTTCTCTTCTCCAATTACTATGCAACGTGTTTGGTATGTCACGTGACCCTTAATGGCGAATCAGTGGAGCCCTGAATTTACAGAGACGACTTCTTAAATAGCAACAAATTGGCCCCCAGTTGAATCAGAAATTTGATATCTCAGGGCTGCAACTTGTTTTTCTAATTGTTTAAAAATTAGAAGTGTATCTCTTTAAACCACGCCCGTTTGCAAACTTTATTTCGGTTGTTTTTCAGACAATAACACTTGAGCCTCGTTTTACTTTTTTTTTTATAAATTGAAAACCAAATTTTATACGCATCTTTTTCATAAACTGTTAAGCTTCATTTGGCAGTATATTTACATTAATTTGTACCACACACACACACATATATATATAAAATTTTATTCAAGCCATTTTACTGTCCATCTGGCTTCCTTATAGCAGTTTTTTTTTTATTTAAAGAATACCTGTTAATAAATTAATTCTTTTTAATAAATGTTTTTTAAAACATTCCCCTCAAAAGAATGTGTAATAAACTAACCTAGTCTATTGTGTTATGTTTTCATTTACCCTTTAATTATTCTTGTACAATTTTGCATCAGAAATTTCCCGTTCCTTGTAACTCCTAACAGTTTGTTACAAAGTGTATTTGAGATTTAGGATAATCACAATTAGTGCTGAATACAGACTGAATTGATTACTCGGTAAATTAATTTTCAGTGTTAGTAGGAGTTGGTCAGAAACAGGGTGGTTGCAAGAGTCTCATGCTCCCTCCGCCCCCGAATCTATGATACATGACACTGCATCGACTACATCTTAGTTTTCATATAAAATACAAATTTCATTGTAACCGAATTATGTAAAATAATGGATCATATGCAATATAGGTGAACAATTCAACTAGAAAAATTGAAAATAAATGCAATGCAAATTAGAGACACGTCATAATAGATCCTTCCATTTTAAATAAATCAACAATGTTTTGCAGCGATCTTTAATGTTAACTTGAGATTTATTTGTTAAAAAGTTAAATAACTTTAACACGTTTTACATCATGGGAAAAAAAGTGAATTTTATTTTATTTTATTTTTTAGACTTAGTATGAGCAAAACGAATTCACGGTTTTGGTCGAAAAAAAACTCAGAATGATATCAAAATATGCGAAAATGTTTCACTCTTTAATAGTCAGTTGTGCTTAATTTCATTTTAATAGTCCGAGTATCTGCGCGCCGCTGTTTCATTTGTGTCTCCGATCGGGCTATCTGCGCGCCGCTGTCTCCGATCGGGCTATCTGCGCGCCGCTGTCTCCGATCTGCGCGCCGCTGTCTCCGATCGGGATCTGCGCGCCGCTGTCTCCGATCGGGCTATCTGCGCGCCGCTGTTCCCGGGCTATCGCCGGTCTCCGATATCTGCGCGCCGCTGTCTCCGATCGGGCTATCTGCGCGCCGCTGTCTCCGATCGGGCTATCTGCGCGCCGCTGTCTCCGATCGGGCTATCTGCGCGCCGCTGTCTCCGATCGGGCTATCTGCGCGCCGCTGTCTCCGATCGGGCTATCTGCGCGCCGCTGTCTCCGATCGGGCTATCTGCGCGCCGCTGTCTCCGATCGGGCCATCTGCGCGCCGCTGTCTCCGATCGGGCTATCTGCGCGCCGCTGTCTCCGATCGGGCTATCTGCGCGCCGCTGTCTCCGATCGGGCTATCTGCGGCTTTTTTTTGCCTCTGCGTGTGGCCATTAGTATGGGAAATTTGTACATCTTTTTTCGGTGTTAAACACTTTGATTTGAAAATTCTTGCAAAAATCAAATTGTCACATTTTAATGAAACTTTCAGGATTTATTCACAAATGAATTAAATTATTTTAGTTTTTTTTTTTTTTTTTGGCAAATCGTGGTAAAAATATTTTTTTAAATATCTTAGCTCCGTCCAAACTTATTTAATTTTATGAAATTTCGAGAAATTCATTTTTATAGAGCTTAATGTTTAAAGAATTTATAAGGACAAGGCTGTGGAGAATTTAAATCATCAGGGTCGCCTCTGGTACAGAAAATCTGCTCTAAATCGTAAAATAAAAAATGAAATAAAACTAATACATTCTTTAACTAGAAAAGATTTTAATTGCTTTTGTGAATGAAATATATTATAGGCACTACTGTTTTAAGAATACTTTTTCGATGAATAATGAATTTTTACAAGAATTGTTTTCATTTTTTTTTTATTTTAATTCGAATAATAAAGTTTTAAATATTTTAATTTGTAGCGTTTAGGTGATATTGTTATTAAGTAAAAACTTTATTTACTAATCATAAATAAAAAAAAAAAAAAAAAAGCTTATTACAATTTACCGATTCCCAGAATTTAAAAAGAAATTTGGAATTTTTTTTCGGTTGTGTATAAACGTGCCGATTTTTGTAAATACAGACATCCATGCAATTATCAGAAAATAAAAGCGGTAGCTCTAGTAAATTTAAAATTTATTGGTAATTTTCTAACATTTCCTCAACAAGTATCTTTGTAAGATAATGCCAAAGTATCTAAAATTCAACAAAGTAGTAATTAGAATATTTTCCTAAATTTTTAAGATTACATGGTCAAAAAAATCTATATAAAAAGGCGTAATTCAAGTAATTTTTAGTTATGTGCTCTTTACTTAAAAATGTCAAACATTAAGTTATCGATCTATCATCACGTCATGAACGCCAACCTCCGTGTTAAAATGCTTTTCTGTGATATTTAGAAAAAAAGTAATATTTGTTTTAATTTATAATAAACTTTAAATCAGTTAATCATCGTCAAATAAAGTTTCAAAAAAGTATACTTTATTTTTTTAAAGATCTTTTTAAATAAAGAGAATTATGTTGTGTTGACAGATTTGTCAATATTGACCGATTTTAGCGGTTAAAATGATTCCAATCACTTTAAATTCTCTTTGAAATACAGCATTGGAAATATTAAAGTTAATCTATTAGCTTGAAATTAAAACTAAAATAAAAGCTTCAAAAATGATCTTCCATTTTTAAAATGAATTTTAAACCTGAGGTATCGCACATTTTTAGGTAACTATATATATATATATATATATATATATATATAAAGTGAACATAGAAGTTAACATTAGAGGCGACAGTCTGTTTCATGCTATATGATGGTGGCCTGACGATTGCATATAGCATGAAACAGACTGTCGCCTCTAAGTGTTGACTTCTATGTTCACTTTTATATTTACACACGCTCTATCTCTGATATTGAGCACTTTTATCCCATAAATATAGCACATCTTAAGACTATATTTCTTTATATATATATATATATATATATATATATATATATGCACACAGAAGAAAACGCTAGAAAATTTTCACACCGACTAAACACCAAATTTTGTCGAGCTGGGAGACTTCTTGGGAAGGAATGGGAAAAGAGAACGTCGTCTTTTTTATCCCGAATATTAAAAAAGGCACATACGAGAACGAACAAAACTCGAAACTATTACGTGAAATTTAAAAGGTACAAACACTTATTACTTTGGCAATAAAACAATATAACGAATTTTTTACAAAAAAAGCTTGCACAAACATTTCTTTTCGTGCGCCTTATTATGAACAAAGCAAGATAACAGAACGAAATTATAGGCTTTACAAATTGTTTACAATACAATTTTTCAGATCATGAAAGAGAAACCTTTTATAATAGAAAAAACAACTGAGAAATGGGCAAAAACACTCTTTACAAAAAGTTGCACTCGTCTAACAGAGAGACGAAAAAACTTGCTAAGACAACTTTGGCAATAGTGCGTTACTTTAACGATAAATTTTCTTTCACCTTCCTTTTAGTGATCGTTAGCGGCGTGGTCGGCTCTTAATTTTCTTTATTCTTTTTCCATTTCGTCGTTGTAGAAGTTGTCTTGCGTAGTCCTTGAGAATACCGAAAATTAAAGCCTTTTACTTTCTCAGCGGCGGCTAGCGACTTTCACATGGGAGTGAACGCCACAAACCCTTCTGCTCTCTGCAGCCAGCCGGCCTCATTCGCATCTGAAATCTAAACCCCTTCTGTTATTCTCTGCTAACCCGTGTTCTTACATACTCTTGAAAGAGGCTCAAACGGACCTCAACTTTAAATTTACGACAGTGGAAGCCACACTTTTATTGGACAATAAATACGACGGGGATATATTTTTTAAATTTGAAAAAAAAAAAAAATAATAATAATCGCCAGTCTGCCATGACAGTTAATCTAAACAAAGAAATTTTTACTGACAAATGTATCATATTTCGGTATCTGTCTATATTTCTGAGATGATGTCCAGTGTAACCCGGATATAAGAGAGTTGTCGGGACCGAAGAAAATCTCTCTTATATCCGGGTTTCTCTTATATCCGGGTTACACTGTATTATATACATTATTTACATTATTCCGACTATTGTCCTCATCTTTGTCGCAATATTTATTACAACGTTTCGGCCGGTGTACGCTCCGGCCTTCTTCAGATGGTTGGAATGTCGAACTGAACCCTTAATTTCGCTCACTGGGGTAGGCTGTTCTAGTTCCACGTGCCATGTTTAATGGATGTCATCAGTTATCTCTTGTTAATTTTCCTCTGAAAGTTCTCCACTGCCTTAACCGGGTATTTTTTGGGGTCCTGTCACTGGATCTAACCAACGCCTATATTTCTGAGATGAGGTATTATGTACACTATTTACATTATTGTCCTCATCTTTGTTGCCATATTTGTACACTCTGGCCTTCTTCAGGTTGTTGGAATGTCGAACTGAACTGGGGCAGACTGTTCTAGTTCCACGTGTTATATCTAATGCATGTGTGCATACGAGTTGAAAATATAGATGGACTCCCACAGTATGATTAAATAAGAAACAAGCATTCAAACATTAAATTTAAAATGTTTTACTATTCATTTATCGGTGCTTGTGTCTTCTTTCTATTTTTATGTGCCTGCCCCTTCGGGACGTAGGCGATCATGGCTCTCCACTTCCCTCTATCCCTTGTAGCTCTCAATAAGTTTTGTCCTTTTGCCACTTCCCACAGGTCATGTTCTGTCATTCACTTAAGCCAGCTAGGTATGTCATACATTGCTTTCCCTTGTCTCTCTTTCCCTCTATTCGACCTGTGAGTATCAGATTCTTCAAGCCCTTCCTTCTCATTACGTGTCCCAGAAATTTCGGCTCTTCCTAATGTTAAGTATAAGCTACCTCCTTGTTTGCATTCTCTCCAAAACCTCATCGTTGCTCATACGATCGGTCCATGATATCCTTAGCATCTATCGGTAGAACCATTCCTCTGTTGCCTCGAGTCTCTTCATCTTTGAGGAGACCGTCCAATATTCGCTGCCGTAAAAGAAGACAGTGAAGCAATTTATTCGGTCGTCTAGGACTAACTTTTGGGCGATTGTTTTAGCTTCCTTATTGATATCGAGTTCTGTTGATTTTGGTGCTTTTTTGTATGTTTTAGTTATGTTTAAACTCGAAAAACAAGCATACAGTTTTTTCAAAAATATGGGATTCGACATTGACATAAAAACTAACGTAAACAAAGTAGTTTTTTAGCTGTCACCTCCAACCTAAGAAAAGGTACATATAAACCATACAGAAACCCAGTGATAAACCACTGTATATACACGCAGCTAAGAAAGACTATGAAACATCCCTAAAAGATAGTGGATTCCCGGCAATACTCACATACACACCACACAACACAAAAAGCCAAGAGGAAGAGAAACATCATATGGTTCAACCCACCGTACAAAAAATGTAAAAAAAGGAAAAACACACTCATTAAACTTATACATAAACACTTTCCACACATCAAGCACTCTCCATAAGATATTCAGTAAAAATCAGTTGCAGTTGTACAGAGAACATGACACAAATAATAAAAAAGGAAAACAATCAACAAACCACCTGAACAAATTAAACCTACTTGTAACTGCAGAATAAAGAAAGAATGTCCCTTAAACGGCAATTGCTTGCAGAACAATGTAATATACGAAGCCACTGTAAAATCAGCAGATAACGAACAAAAATATGCACAGGAGTAACTGAAGGATCCTCGAAACGAAGAAACTATGCACGCAAAATATCCTTTACAAATAATAAATACGCGTAAAGCACAATGATTTCTAAACATATCTGGGAGATTAAAAACAAAACAAAAACAAATTTCACTAAAAATATCATTGAAAATAGGAACAAGAACATCAACCTACAACAGTCAATCCGAAAACTCTGCTTAGATGAAAAATAGATTTAATTACATTTCCTGATCAAAAGAAACTACTTAATACACGATCAGAACTAATCTCAAAATGCACACACGAAAATAAATTTTTACTACGTTACTTAAAAATCAAAAACTGAAAACGAACAAGAATAAATGAAAATAAATAAACAAAATCAAGTAAAATAAATTAATCCAAACAACTAAATAAGTAAATAAACTAAGTAAATAATAAAGAAATTAACAAACCATTCCCGGAAAAATAACCGTTAGAATAATACAATAGAATAACCACAATGTATCACTGACCTGTATATATAAAAAAACGAAGCCAAAACACAACGCACATGGCCTGGCGATTGCGTTTAGCATGAAACAGACTGACGCCTCTGGGTGTTGACTTCAATGTCCACTTGTGTGTGTATATATATATATATATATATATATATATATATATATATATATATATATATATATAATGCCTCTGTTTATCTTGAAAGATAAAGGT